TGACAGCCAGAAGGAAATGTGTGTGTGTTTTGAGTTTTATGTGTATGTGTATGTTTGTGCATTCCCCAGAGAGCCTGAATATACAGAAAAACATCAGGTTATCAGTTAAGTTTGTGACAGGAAAACTATCAGGGTTAAAATTCTAAAAAGCAGTACTTTGATCGAAATGGCTACTGACACGATTGCTTTTCATACGATATTGCAACTGTCCTCCATTTGATATTTAGCACAGGGCTGGGTTATAAATTTTTTTATTACCAGTTCTGTGGGCATGGCTTATTTTGTGGGCGTGGCTTAGAGATCATGTGACTGGGTGGCATGGCTAGCTGGTCATGTGACCGGGTGGCCATGGCTATGTGTATAGGGACTACTCAGAGGGCTGAAAAAAGTCATTTCTGACAGGTCGTCGCACTTTTGACTGGTCCTCAGTCTTATGACCATCCTCACATTTATGCCCATGCAGCATTCTTAACAACCATGTCACTCATTTCACAACTGCTTCTCTTCACCAGGATGACAAGATAGGACAAAAAACGTAAAATTTGAGGACAGTTGTAAATTCGAGGACTGGTCAAAAGTGCGAGAACCAGTCAAAAATAACTTTTTCAGCCTCTCAGTAGACCATATGCACAAAAGGACTACCCAGAGGGCTGAAAAAAGTGATTTCTGACAGGTCCTTGCACTTTTGACCGATCTTCGCACTTATGACTAGTCATCATTTATGACCATTGTAGCATTCTTAACAACAGTGTCACTCATTTCACAACTGCTTCTCTTCACCATGATGACAAGATAGGGTAAAAACGTAAAATATGAGGACAGTCGTAAGTTCGAGGACTGGTCAAAAGTGTGAGGACCAGTCAAAAATATTTTTTTCAGCCCTCTGAGTAGTCCATATGTACAAAAGGATACAGCAATAGAGAGGATGAAGGAAGGAGAAGAGAGATGGAAGAAGGAAGGAAGAAAGGGAAAGGAAATTAGAGTAGGAGTGACGGTAAGAGAGGGAGGAAGAGAGGAGGAGAAGGAGAAAGGAAGAGGAAGTAGGGAGGAGAAGAAGTGGGGAGGAAGAGAAAGTAAGAAGGAAACAAAAAGAGAGAGGTGGTAGGTTTGAGGAGAAAGATTGCTGTACAATAAAAAAGATGAAAGGGAAGAAAGCCATTAAGATAAAGAATGAATTGTTAAACTTTAAAGAATAAAAGAGAACAAATATGAATAAATAGCAATAATTAGAAACACACATACAAACATACAATGTATTTTCTTTGAACAGAGTATTTGGCCGATTCACAAATTTAAACAGTATTTAGTCATTTCAATTAAATTTACAATTTCTATATTTCCTTTTTGCCATATTTATTCCTCATCTATTTTTTAAAAAAACAATATTACCCTTCATCCTCATCTCTAATCTTAATCAAATTCAATTTTTCCCTTCTATTCTATATTATACCCCTTCCCATTGTCATCTATTTTTATATCCATCCTCACATTGGTTAATTGTGTAATATTACAGTTGTTTAATACAAATTCAACATTTTAATATAAATCAATTAGTTATATAACTATCTTTTTTAATATAACTATATTAATCAATATGAACATGAATATTCCAATTATTTCTATGCAATCCAATTTATTACAAATCAATTAATTATATTTACCAATAATAATAAACCAAATAATTTGTCCCATATATTCCTCCAAACCACAACTTAATCATTTCTGCTTTCAACACAATAAACAATTAATAGTATCTCAATTATTACAAGTCCCTAATTAAATAGTTTGTTTTCTTTTGTGTTTTAAAATCTTGAACTTTCCTCTTTTGCCCTAAATTTCCCATTGTTTGCACCTACCTTTTTTGGTGAGGAAAAAGAAAAAGAAATCTCTCCCTGCCTTATTTTGTCACGTTGCAACAAAGAGCCTGCTTTACTTTCAGTTTCGTTTTTTTCAGCATAGCTAGGAGAAAAAAATCTGCTCCAACACTCTTTGCAGCTAGCAACACAGCCCTACGCAAAACAGCTGAGAGCAAGTCAGCTGACAGTCAGGAGGCCAATCTAATCAACTTGTGCTAATTAACCAATGCTGAAGCTGAAAGGGGCTGTTTTTTCTTGCTGTTTGCTTGCAAGGAGGTAACTGCTGCGAGGCACAGGCCAAAGGGTGGGGGCAACCCTCCTTGCCATTTAGCCCCCCCTGTCACCCCCTTTTGCTTCTAGCTCCCTCCTGCCGCCCCCCTTGCCTCTTACTGCCCCCCTAAGGATGGTACCGCCCACTTTGGCAACCACTGGCTTAACTACTTAACTACTTAACAACCGGTTCTACCAAAGTAGAATCCTACCACTGGGTCTACTATTTATTTTTGCAGGCATTGGTCTACTCATTTGTTTTCTTTTAACACTGGTCAGCTGTAGGGAGGCCCTTTGAAGCCCCGCGGCAAGAGTTTAAACAGTTTTTTTTTCCTCTAGGCATCAGCTGGGACTCAGGAGGCAGCAATAGATTGGGAGTGGGTGGGGTAAACGAACTGCGAATGGGCCGGGAACCGGTTCAGGGGCGTGGCCAGCCAATCTTATTACCGGTTCTCTGAACTATTAAATTTTTTTACTACCGGTTCTTGCGAACCAGTGCGAACTGGGAGCAACCCACCACTGATTTCGCATGTACAACACTGATCTGTCTGACATATTCTGGTATTTCTTTTAGTAAGAATGAGCCAGCTTTATGAATAAGCCATCATCCTAACATCTTTAACCACTTCTGGAAAATAATCAGTGGTGCTTCATTCAGGTGTCACAGAAACAGGTTATCTGCTCTCTTTGATATCTGAGATTGCAAATTTAGACATCTTATGTCACTTGGGCTGTTCTGCATGTGTGAACTTTCTTTTCCAAAGCTATAATTTTTGGCTTGGGAAAAGCTTATTCATACTTCATACATGGCATTGGGCTCAAATTTTAAAATAATATTAATCCCCTTTCTTTGAAGTAGTAAAACTAAAAATATATTCTGAGTTCACCATAGATCCCATTCCTGTTTCTTGAGCCCACTGATTTTAATGAGGAAAAATGAATAAAAACATATAATAATTGAATGTTGATCTTAAATAATTGCATTTTTTCCCAAATCTTCTGAGAAACTATGGCTAAAGTTCATTACTTTTTGTTGATTGGAACCTTTTAAATTAAACATAAAAATATTTCGCACATTGTTTTTTAAAAATATACACAACAGTAACTGCAAATGAATTTAACATGCCCATGCCTTCTACAATAACTTCCTACTGATAACCTGATGATTTCTCCCAGATAAACTTTAACACTAGGAATTTAATGTAATGTGCTCTCTTTACATCATATAATTGCTTGATCTGTACTAAATTTACAGATCTGGTGGGGATATTTCACACATCTAATAGAATGGTGCAGGAATTGATGTTGTGGATTTTATAAAAAAATAGAATTTTCTGAAAAACAGCAAGAATTTAATCTAAGAATTTAGATTAAATGAATGTTCACATCTGCCTTCATAATGGCATTTCAAATATGCCATGTTTAAACTGAGAATCTGTAGTTTGTAGATGATTTAACTATCTTGCATAGACGCACTAGTTAAATTCCCACAAATTAAATGCCTTTGCTTGTTGTAGTTGCTGCTAGTTTTTGTTTTTTGTTTTAATATTCAGGTATGTTTTTACTATCATAAATCAGTTTTACAGCATTTGATGTTTGGTAAACTTATAATAATACTTAAATGTCTTAAATGTATGTTCAATCTGGAGAGAAGAAATTCTTACTACCCTGGAAATCTGACAACCGATATAATCTTTTCCAACTAACAAATGTTATTAAAAGGCGTAAGCTTTTATGAGTTGCAGCTCGCATTTTTGCCACCGTCTAACACGGTTCTCCTCCTACCGGTATAATGTTGACAACTGATATATATCACTGAATTATGTGAACATGACAAATATCTGCATAAGGTTAAAATGCAATTGTTTTGTATCTTGCAGTAGAAGGTGGAAATAAACTCCCACAAAATCTTGGATAGACTTAAGATGCTCAAGGAGTCAAACTCAGCTAGGCAGATTGCCAGCTGGAAATGGCATGCTTCTAGTTTTAATATTTAAGAACAACGAGGAGGAAATTGTTGACAGATGACAAACAGAGGTTCTGAATAGGGAATATGCCTCAACTGAAACTTTTATTTATTGCAGTCTTCTGGGAAGATATTGAAATGCGTTATCTGTCCATCATGACTTGAAAATTGCTTAGCATAGTAATGCAATAAAGTAACAGCTCACCTCTGCTATGAGGAAGGTGTTCAATGTGCTTTGCTGACAGTAACTGATTGACATGAGTGGTGTGGGTGGAGTGGCATGGCAGACATATTCATGAGTGATCACAGTGACAGTTCTATTCCTTGAACTCATTATCATCTATAGAACCCTGTAGAATTCTATAGGGTCCTATAGGACCCTATAGAATATATTGACTCTTATGGGGCATTTTGAAGCAGGGATGGTCCTTGGTGCTCTCTGAGATATTTACTTACTCAAACTAGATAACATCATCAGCGCTAGAGATGTTATCTAGTTTGGGTAATGAAACGTTCTGCAACAAAACAACAAGCTCAGAAAGTACCGAGGACCCCTCATTTCAACCCACCACTACAAATATTGTCCTTTATTGATTTTGAAGCAAATGCTTGAATAGCTTAAAGAATGGGGGTAGAAACAGTATACAGGCAAAAACTGTTATAATTAAAATATATTATGAGGGTTTTTTCTTAATAGTTTATTTATTTACATACTTTAATACTTTAAAAAGGACTTATAAACTTGCATATCCATATAATAGAATAGAATAGAATAGAATAGAATAGAATAGAATAGAATAGAATAGAATAGAATAGAATAGAAGCCAAGCAGAAGCTACAGTACTAACTAGGTTCTATTAATCAGTAGGCTTTTACTAGCTTCTTCTCTAATATGCTTTTGAACTTACTTGCCTTGAGTATCTCTTGGATTTGATATGAATGTGTCAAAAGTTTAAACCCATTGAAACTGGAGATAATATCTTCCTTGGCTGTTTGATCTTCTCAAAATTATTCATTCTACCTGGTGGGAAAAGGAACAGCAGATGGCAGGAGAGTTCACTACAAGGCAGGATGAATTGGGCAAGTAATTTATTAGCTAGGCATTTCTGTCACAAGTTTCTACTTTGCAAATTGCAAATCCTATGATCCCCAGCAGAAGTTGACGTTCCTTATGTCAGTTACAGCTTAGAAAAATTACTGTATTGGGTTGCTGAAAAGCTAGTGAAAGGGCATTTTAATGAAGGAAACACTAAAAAGTACATTTATTTTGCTTTAAATGAAGCAAGCTGAAATATGATTAATCTATTTCTGACAGCTTAATAACCATTACTTTTTAAACTGTGAACAGTTTTCATGTTGAAATACTTTGGCTTTTTTCTGAAATCATCTAATAAAAATAATATGTTCTTATCAATTCTACTTTTCATTTTTAATATGTTTAAGAACGATTCAACTTACTGGATATGTGTGTGTGTGTGTGTGTGTGTAAGTGTGTATTTATCTTACAGAATAGACATTTCATAAAGTGATTTAATTTTTGTGTTTAAGGACCCCTTTCCCTTGATATTTCATTTTTTTTTCAATATTGGTTCTTGAACACATTGTTCTGAGATGGGAGGTCAGTGGAATGTTCTAGCTATTACAGCAAGAATAGCTTCCCAAATGCATTTGCCTCTTTGGCACTTACATATAGACCCACAAGAGCTCACACATAATTTAAGTTTTTCCCAGGTCAAGGGGATCAAGGTATCTTCAGTGGGAGTAAATAATGTTATCTTTTTGCCTGATGCAGACTTTCAAGAGCATTACAGATGGGGCTGAGGCACAGCTATCTCTGCTTATCAGTTTATTTATGTTGGTAAAGACAAGTGCTACATTGATCGTTTAGGCTCAGAACTGACGGCTCTCATCTGTCATGTCTTGCTGTACTTGAGAATCCATTTAGGTTGGTTACACCAGCTAGCTAGATGACGATTAAGGGGAAGGCAGGGTACGATACTCTGATGAGATTACTGAGTTCATGAGGGAGCATATATATGGATTGTTCATTATATTTTTGAGATATTTAGCCCATAGCATTGCGATCCTGTTATTGATACAAATATAGTTTTCTATTTTTTTAATCTAATATAAATAATATAAATAATCTATATTTATCTAATAAGCCAAAGAAATAGTGGGACTAAGTTGAAGTATAACAAGCAATGTGTTTGTTACAAAATAGATTTAGTCATATATAACCATTGATGTCTCAATGGCTTTGGATACATATAACAAAAGAAGGTTCTAATCAAACAAAGTATTGTGTTTATATCATAATACTGAACAGCATGCTCTATGTATTGATTATGTAATTTCTTATATATACATCGGGGGGGGGGACTGCATAATGATCCGCCTGTATAAAGGAAAAATCTTAGGTAAAGAATTTTCTTATTTCCAGCAACAGAATATTATTGATTTGAGTCATTTCATGCACACAATTATGCATTAGATAAATATATTAAACCAATTTATAATAGTCAACACTGAAGTTAGACTCTTATTTGATTGTGGGGGGAAAAAACCAGTGAATTGATGGCCTAAATTTGTTGCAAGTTTAAGAATTCAATATACATTCCAACTAAAGTAGGCAAAATCTCTGTCCATGATTCAATGCTACATAGATACCTCTGGATAAATTCTGAAGTATTCTAAGGATTTGTCAGAATAATAAATAGTGTTTTGCTATAATTAATCATATTATACTGTATACAGCTATTTAATTAATAAATTTATATCCTGCTTTACATTCAAAAATGAAGACACAATGCACGGAAGGCTTCTCTTTCTTTTTCCCAGCAACCAACCTGTGAGGGATAAGGGGATAGAGAGAGAGAGAGTGAGATTCACCCAAAGTCATCTACTGATTTTACATGGCTGAGAGTGGGCTTAAAAAAGGTCTTTTCAAGTTTTACACCTTATCTGCTACACTGAATTGCCTTTCTGGCCAATCGGTTAAGGCCTCAGCCAGTTGTTTCTTCTTCTAGTTCTTCTATATCCAGCTAGATCAGTCTATAATGGATTACTACTTTTATACAAGTCATAATACAAAGAGGAGGGAGGAAGATGTTGTGCCAGCAGCCGAATCAGAGGAGGACAAGGGGTGGGAGTCAGAGTCAGCATCAAGGCAAGGCTTCAAGGGGAAAGAGGGACTGGAGCTGGTAGAGAGAGAAAGAGAGAGAGAGAGAGAGAGGGGGGGAGGGAGGGAGGGAGGGAGAGAGAGAGAGAGAGAGAGAGAGAGAGAGAGAGAGAGAGAGAGAGCCTGGGCCATCCATCAGCCCTTAAATGGAGAGTCAACAGCGCCCAGGTGTGGAGGTGGCTGAAGAGGAAAGGAAAAACAGCTAGGTCCAGTGCCTAATGTGCAGATGCAGCAATGGAAATCCCTGGGCCAATCCTTGGGAACGAAAAGCCACTGCTGCTAATGAAGCCCCACCTTAGCTCTGGGAATAAAAGGCAGATGGCGGAGATGAATAGATGTGACAGACAACTATTCATCTTCTGGATGGATGGACTTGTTAGCCTGCGTTGAGAGAGAAACTTTGGCCTGGGCTGCTAGCTTTCCTAATAAAGGAATCTTTGAGTTAACTTCAGAGAGTTTGTTGTGTTTGGAGATCTGGGTCAGAACAGGAAGGAGGGAGGGAAGAAGGAAGGAAGGAAGGAAGGAAGGAAGGAAGGAAGGAAGGAAGGAAGGAAGGAAGGAAGGAAGGAAGGAAGTGTTCTTGTTTCCTAATAGACAAATTATTTTAACAATTCCTTCAGGGAAGAAGTAGATATATTTATTGAGCAGAGGTATTTATTTTCATTATAAAATTTTTAGTTTTAAAATGAAATTAATTCTGAGCATTTGTCATTCTCTGGATTAAAACACATATTTGGAGTAATTTATGCAAAGATGCATAAATTATGCAATGATGAAAATGTCAATGTTTTTTGTACGGACCAAGTCTACACTACCCTCTCTAAAGTAACATCTGCACAATTTGTTGACAACTGGCTTTACGCTTATGTGGATGAAACCTCAGAATATGTAGAACTAATGATCTCCCTCTCTCTTTCTCTACAACTGGCTTTTGCAACCTCTTCCATTTGATATTTGGTGGTTGCTAAGCAACATTGCACAGGGTGGCAGAATGAGCAAGAACTGTCAAATTCATTATTTTGAGGCCTTAAAGAGACAACCTCTGATATATATGGAAAAAATATGTTTTAAATTATAACTATTACCTCAATTAAGTTTTTGTTCCTGATTAACTCATGAATAATTTTAGAAGACCTGGAAGAAATCAGAAGCTGACCCTACCATGGAAAATAAGAAAATCTGTCCTGCCAACAGAAATGAAACAGGCAGGAAACAGAAATCCATCAGTATCACTAACTCTTATTCAAATCTCTGACAGTTTTCTTATCAACATAGATAATTTCTATATAACCTAAATATAAAGCTGAAATGATGTTCAAGAATAGAAATAAATAATTTCTGGTGTTTTTTCTCTTTCAAATCATCTCATAATTATTTTCTCAAATTATTATATAAGCATAAAGTTTTGCTTCATTCAGAGCTACAACTCTTTAAAACATGGCTCCTTAGGTGGAACTTTCCAAGCCTGGGAATAAAAATAGATACTTCCAAAAAAACAAAACAAAAAAAAACCTCCTGCAGAACTGGAACAAATGATAATTTTCATTGAATCTAATTAGCAATTAAAATCAACCCCCATTAAATCAAGAACTCAATTAGAAAGAAGGTAATCGGGAGACTCTGTAAAACCCTGTTGTTGACAGTCAATGCATAGATACCCAGTTTCCAAGTTTGGGTAATCTAATCCTTTTTTCCCTTTGCAAAAAATCTACCTACTTTGTGAAAATCTTGCTTCTTAGTGTGAGCTGCTTTAAGGAATTAAGCATTAATCTTGGAAACTAGATGCATGAACTATAGCCATTATTTGTTAGTGAGTTCATTAAGGTTGACTTTTCAATTGCCTTTGATCCTCTTTGTAAATGAGGCTTGGTTTAATAGGGAAGATGTTAATTGCTTATTAGATACCACAAAAGCGTTAAACTGTTCTTGTTCTGAAATATTTCTGAACTACCATGTTTCCCCCAAAATAAGACCCTGTCTTATATTTTTTTGAACCCTGAAATAAGCTCTTGGTCTTATTGCCATGTGCTCAAAAGCCCGATTGGGCTTATTATCAGGGGATGTCTTATTTTGGGGCAAACAGGGTATCTGTTTTCATTCTCAGGCTCAGAGAATTCCATCACAGTTCTTCTGAAGGATATCCCTTTTATAATTCTCAATGGATGTAAGAGGGTTAAGATTTTTAAACATAAGCCAACGATAGATAGTTACTTTAATCATTCTATACACCTAGATATTGATTAAGATAGTTTTCATATCTCACTGCTGCATGAAAAGCAATATCTGCATTCACATAATTGAACTACTTTTTCTTTATTGACTATTATTTGCCACAGGTGATTTGCTATGGGAATAATGGGATAATGGGAGGCATTTGACTACTGGCTCTTTTGGATTATCACAAACAAAAAGAAAACATTGACAATTATAACTTCCTGAATATAAATATTATATTCCAGATAATGATGCTGTAGAATTTTTATCTGGACATCTGGAAAACAACCTGTTTCTTCAGGGTTCCATTTTGCCTTTCAACAAGAAATTTTATTCTGTTTGACATGGAATTATGCATTGATCTACAGATTTTCAAACTATAGTTTTTATAGTGACAATATAACTAAATACCTTATCAAAGGCTAATTTGTTAATTACTCTAGTCATTCCTTTCCTATGTAAGTCAGGAAAGTCAGTAATTCCCGTGATTCATCCTGACATCCTAGACATATTTGTCTAGAACCTGTTACCTCAATTTTCAATATTCTATCTATTGATTTTCAGCTACAGTTTAAAGTTTTTGAATGAATAAAAGAATAAATGATTGATTAATTGATTGATTGAATGAATGAATGAATGAATCTCTAAATTGAGAAAACACTCAAATTATCTTACTTCAAAAACATTATATGAGGACTTATCTCTTTGGAGAAAGCACTGATGCTAGAAAGGTGGAAGAGAAGAGAAGATATGACCAACATCTATCTATGTGGTCACTAATAGTCAATAGTGTCTTGATAGCACATAACTGAATAAAGAAGTCTTTTTTTTTTTAATGTCTGGATCCTGAGATCCCAGACTATTGCATGTGTAGAATTTACCTTTATAAAATCTGTCACTAACTTGCTTCAGAAGATTGTCTGGGATCTTGAGATCTTCTGAAGCAAGTTAGTGAGTGATTTTATAAAGATAAGTTCTACACCTGCAATAATCATCTTATGCCACATTAAATCCTTTAAAAATTGTGTGGCCATTTGACTTAGCCTGATTAGGTGGCTCAATGGCTAAGATAGTGAGCTTGTTGATCAGAAAGGTAGGCAGTTCGGTGGTTCGAATCCCTAGTACAGGTCTCCTACATGAGCAGGGGGTTGGACTACATGACCTCCAAGGTCCCTTCCAACTCTGTTACTGTTACAGACTCTAATGGTTATGGTGGTAATCTTGATGATCTAAAATAGTCAGATTATATGTAGCTCTTGTTTGCTTGCCATTTTCATATTGCTATTTTCTTTGGATTAATGATGCTATCATACGTATTGTGTTCTGAGCATGCTCAAGAGAATTGGCCCCTGTTGGGATCCTTTGTAACATTGGATGTTCCTATTGGTTAAGCCGTCTGACAGTTGGTATAAAAGAGCTGTCAGGCTGAGTTCGAGGTTCTTTGTATTGTACTTCTTCTGAATTGTGTTAGAGCTGTAGCTGTGAGGTAAATAAATACTTACCGTTATAATCCACCTCTGTAATTCATTGTCTGCTCGAGAACACACCAATACATACTTGAAAATAAATTGATAACATGGATTTTCTAAACAAGCAGAATGATGAAAGATAGGGGTAAGAAAAAAAGAAAAGAAAAAGAGCACAAATATGAAGACAATTAATTCTTTTAGATTTTTAAAAAATCTATTCAATTTGTCCAGGATTCATGTTACAATAAAGCATACAGAAATCAGAGGTTGCATCTTTATTTTAGCACAATCCTCATTGAAAAATGCTGACCACATTCATTACAATGTGGTACATCTTAGAGATTCATGTTACTTGTTCATGTGAAGCAGCAATTTTCTAATGCCTTAGGCAAGCACATCTTAAAGTTGTTTCCCTGAAATTGTTTTGTGACCTTGTATTTGATTGCAGACCTCCAAACCCAACTTCTTATATCAACAAAAATAGCCAGTTTCATCCTAGATTTGGATGTTGACATAGAATATAAAATCCTTTATCAATCAAAGTTGGCTGTTCTTGGGCACTATTTAACCATGATAGTTCTGCATGTATATATAACTTTTTATGTACATCCACCACTCAACCCATGCTGGCGATTCATGTTGCAAGAGGTGTTTGCTACTAAGTAAGAATCAGGAAAGGTCTAATAGCTTATAGCACAGTAATTATCTCCATTAATTGTCCTTGACTATCTTGCATTCTCTTTGTATTTTCACAATTAAATGAATCCAACCCACCAGATCAGGGAAGCGGGATATGTTATAGGTCCTGTCCATTAAGGAGGCCTACCTAGTTAGACTAAAAAGAAGGATCTTTTCCATGGCGGCCCCCTCCCTGTGGAATATCGTCTCCATTAAAATAATACTGGTCTCCATCTTGATACTTTCCTGAAAGATCCAGAAGATGTGATTTTGCCAGTGGGCCTAGGATCTCAAGTTAATATGGAACCAATCAAGTGATTTGTTTAAATGTTATTGCCAGGAGGGTGGAAGTATTGAATTTTAGATTTGGAGTTTTACTTCCATAAGCCCCCAGAGTAACAATGGTGAACCATGCAAATTTCTTTAATAAATCAAGTTTAAAATTAAAACATTACAATTTTATCTGTTTATAGTAAGAATCCCACTTCTTTTTCACAATAAAAATTGATACTACAGAACAAAGGTATTTATTAAATATTACCCTTTATACCAAATTAACAGAGAAAATAGAAAGGAACAAAATAAAATTCCAAAATTGGCACTGACACTGTTCAACAGTGTCAATGATAAGACATTTCTGTGGATCAATATAATTTCCTCTTTTGAAGAAAATGCCTTTAATTATTATTCTCTTGCTTTTGATCTTCTGGTGAATCAAGTCTTAGAAGAAAAAATTAGCAATAAGAATAAAATGCAGGAATTCCCCAGCCTCAGAGTTTAGAAGTGTAATAATATATTACTTCCCCATCTTGCAAATACTTAATATAACATATAATAAGCCACTGGAGTCTACATTTAAAAACATCCCAGCTGTGTTTTCATGGGAAGTAACCTTCCCTTGATGCTTTCTCCACTTAAAAAATATTTCTAACAGGTCTCTAAAAACTATTTGCTATTAGAATTTTAAATATTGCCTTCCCACAATAACAATGCTTCTTTTTTTAAAAAAAATGCTGTCATAACATCCTTTCTAAAGAAGACATGATTAAATTTGACTATTACATCTCCAATGATTATTTTCTGGGACAATATTCGCACTGTACCCTTAAGCTGCTTCTGTCCCTTGCTGATGCTCACTTAGAATCTCTAAGCTAGTTTAAGACAATTCTGTCCCATTCGGATACTTTTTACCAAATGTTCACTCAGGATTGCTGGCTACAACAGCTCCCACCAGACAGTTTCTTGTTGCTGTGGTGACTCCCAGCATTCTATGCCAAAGAAACAACTGCTAATCACTCTTTTTCCTGCCAGTGGGCCTTACTGGTTGAACAAACCTACATAATCTTAGAGATTTACACCAAGAACTGGGCACGGATAGAAGAACTGGACTCTTGACAGCATTTTATACTTTCAACATTTGCGTAATCAGGGGTTGTTGTTGTTGTTGTTGTTGTTGTTGTTGTTGTTTGGTATGATATGCATGAAGATGTGGTGGGGTTATCTAACCACATTTTTGTGGAGCTCAGGATTTAATTCTTTTATGTTTTAAATAATTGCTTAAACTTGCTGTGGGAGGGTATCCAAAATTAGAAAGTGTCACTATCATTACAATGATGATATTCACCATTACCATGACTTTTCAAATGCTATCAATATAGTTGTACGTATTTTCAACCAATCTATGAAGACACCTTGATAAATGCCTACCTTCTCGAATACAAATGAAAGACAGAGATTTTACTATCACTATTTTACAAGCCAGGTTGTAAAAAGGGCTGTAAATTGCACATGATCTTGATACTTTTATCACAATGATGACAATAACTTTGCTCTTGCCTTTGAGATGTATTACAAAACATTTACAAAAAGTATGAATCTTGCAGTGCAGATTGTTTCATCAGCCAAACCTCATTGGTCTGCCAGGTGCCATCTGTGATCCAAAAATTATTTGCCCACATTCAGACATTTTGTCATAAACATATGTGCCCCAGGATATTGCAGGATGAAATCTGGGTCAGTCACTGGGACCAGAAATTTAGGCATCCAAGCTTTTGGATTCATGCTAGAGCCCATCCTCAGGGAACCTCTGTCTTACCAGAATGATTCCTCAGAGAAGTTCCCTGAGGATGAGCTCCAGCACAAGACCGAAAGCTCAGAAGACTAAAGTTGTGGTACTGGTAAGCAACCCAGACTGGATCCTGCAAGATATTTTGTCAGTTATAGTCTAGTAACTGAAGATTTTATCGCAATCACCTTTGTCTCACCTTCCATTTGCATTCTACATGGGGCTACCTTTGAAAAGTTTAATTCAGTGTAAAGTATAACAAGCAGAGGATTTTTTGCTACACAATTTGGAGATCACACAGAATAATGCTACTGATATATCAATTATACATTGATTCTTAGCTTGTTTCATAATTTATCATTAAGAACTTGCTTGTTCAAGTTCTTAACAATAAATTCATAAGGATTTGGGGCCAAAATATCTGAAAGGCTATTTTTTCCAAACAAATCTCTTCGTCATATTTGAACTTCTACGTTTTTGTTGGCCTCTGTGAAGAGTTATAGTTGATTGGAGGAAGATATGAGGCAAGGCATTACTACTGCATTGCTGCTGCTGCTGTTGTTACTGGACTGTTAATGCTGCACAATACTGTTAACACTGTTATTATTGCATAGTTGTCAGGTGTTGACAATATTCAGAAATCATATTATAAATCGAGCAGCTTACATATTATGGATTGAGCAGCTTACTTAAGACTATTCAAACTCTCCCCTGCACAATTCATCTTATCTCTTCCCCTATAACCAGATTTTAAAGAACTACCATACAGGTTTTCTTTATGCTAAGTCTATTTTGTTTAAATCAGGTGGGTGGGGGGTGAGGCATTCATTTTTCTTTAAAGTAAATCCATCAGAAACTTAGCATACCTCTTTTTAAGTTTATTTTGTTTAGAAAAAAAAAAACAACCCCCCCCCCTGAAAATCAGTGATTTGCAACTGAAGCTTTGTGACAGGAAGCAAAGAATTTGAAGGAACTGTTTTAGGCCCTCAAATTCAAGTCCCGGTTCAGTGCAAGAATCCAAGATAAAGCATCTGGATAGCTGCCTCATCTCTGTTTGAATACATCCAGGGAATAAACACAACACAATCTGGGAACCACAAGGAATAAAGAAGGAGGTACATTTTGATTATCATATACTCATATGAAGTGAACTGCTTGACACAATGGGAATACACTTCAGCCTAGGATGTCTAAAAGAAAAACAGTTCAAATTCAAAGATTTACAATTTGAGTTATAAAAACAGCTAAATGATGCTACACAGAAAACACAGAACTGAAAATCTTCTTTTTGCTCAGAGTTTGCTCAAAGCTAAACAAACACGCAATCTAACTAAGCATGCGCAAGATGGCAGTCGTGAGGTGAGGTGAGGTGCTGCGGCTGGATGGAGGACTTTCTGGGGCTCGAGGGGGTGCTGCAGGGGAGCTCGACCATCAGCGACCCCTGATTCGGTCGGATGGCTTCGGGGCGAGGGTTTTGCGATCTTCCTCGCCCCTGGACGCCCCCGGAGTCGGAGGCGGCGAGGGAGAATGTGGCCGCGCTGCTCCAACTCCGCCGACGCCGCCGAGAGCCGAGCCGAGTGGGGAGTGGAGATCGGCGGCGCTGCTGGGAAGGAGAAGGAGAAGGGAGAGTGGAGCCGAGCCGAGCGGAGAGCAGAGAGCGGAGAACGGAGATATGGAGATGTGGCTTGCTGGCGGCGGGGGGGTCAGTCAGCGGAGGGGGCGAGGGTTTTTGAGATCTCCCTCGCCCCTGGACATGCCTAGAGGCGCCAGCGAAGAAGTTGGCTGCGCTGCTCCAACGCCGCCGAAAGTGGTGCTATGGTGGTTTGTTTGTGGGCAGCAATAGCAGCAAGGTGAAAGGGGAAGTATGGCTGTGGGGCAGCGAGTGGTGGCAGCCTGTTGAAATTTCATCTGCCCCACTCAGGAACTTCCTCAGCGGCCCCTGGAAACCGGGAATGGTGGCGTGGATATCAGCGGGGGTGGTGAGGCCGGCCCCAACATTAAACTGGGCCATGGCACACCCCATGGAAATACTGGAGCTGTTCTCAGACCCTATTGCCGGAGAAGGGGCCTTGCTAGAGGGTGAAAACTGAGAGGAGCATAACGGACTGGAGAAGAAAGACCCCCTCCCGGGATATCTTGGCAGCTGTAGAGGACCTGGAGGCCCCCTGTGACATCCAATGGAGGCTGGGGTTTGGATTTGTTATCCCGGAAGAACTGAACTATCTGAGGAATGTAGGGCTGGGGGGCGACGGAGGAGTTTTCCGTCACATAGATACCAGCCCTTTTCTCCTCCCCCTCCCAGGTACTGTGTCTGCCTAAATGGGCTTATTATTCGCCCTAATTGAGGGAATCTTCTCTCTCCCCCCCCTTTTCTTCCCCTCTTCCTTCTTCCCCTTCCCTTCTTTCCCTTTTTCATCGGGACTTACTCGAATATGATCTTGAGTATAAGACTTTGCCAAGGATTTTCCATCTTCACCCCTGGCGTGACTCATAGACTGACTGATAGACTGATAAATCTTTCTTCCGACCATGGTCAGCCAAACTGATGCAACTGTTGAGGGGTCCTCTATTACATCATGGCTCTTGTCTGTGGGAGAACTTTTTCAATCTACGGCCCCGTGGGGTTCCGCTGTGAGAGGGCGGGCCGGAGGTCGCCCCCATTGGAGGAAATAATTTAGGACCCTCCTGCTGTTGTGGGAGGACAGTTGAGACACCAACAGCACATCGATGAACAATTGGCTGTGTTACATCTTTTGTGAAGTCCCCTGTCTGAGCTTTGGGCCTCCATCGCTGCATTTTGGAGATGTATACGACTGCAGATCTTCTTGCGCTGCGAGATTCCCCCTTCTCGCAGATGTGGCCCTCCTCACTATCGAGGGCCCACCTCAAGGAAGGGTTTTGGGACCCAGAGAGGTGGCATGTGAAAACGAGGGGATTGAGGGGTTTTTTAACAAAATTTTTAGTCAAATTTTTAAGGGGTCCTAGGGAGGGGGAGGGTCAGATTGGAATTCGGGCTGTGGGTATGGGGGATAACCCACAAGGGGGAGGGTCAGGTCTGGCAGTGAAGCGTGGTGTGGGGGATGGAGGACCCGGGATCGAGGGGGGGGGTTAGAGCTTGTCCGGATAGTTTTTTGAACATCAGTACTGTAGGTGGGAGGGGTAGATATGGCGGGAGCAGGGGGCCATATCGTGTTAGGGGAGTGCGCACTCGCTGTCTACGAGCGGTGGCGTGCTCCGGCCCCCAAGGCTCTACTCGCTCCTCAGGTTGCATAGACCCTCAGGACCCAGGCCTTCGGCTGATGCTGTGCAATGCCAGGTCCGTAGTAAATAAAGCCCCCCTCATCTGTGATCTTGTTCAGGAGGGGGGTGCGGACCTGGCAGGTATTACGGAGACCTGGTTGGGCCAGGAGGGGGGGTTCCCCTCGTTGAAATGTGCCCACCAGGTTTCCAAGCATTCCATCAGCCGAGGTCACAGGGGAGGGGCGGGGGGGTAGCGGTTATCATTAAAGAAGGTCTGAGACCGAGGGAGGCCACTGTTCCTCAGACGGCCGGCTGTGAATCCCTTTTTGTGAAATGGGGTCATGGGGTTCAGATGGGTTTGCTGATCACGTACCTGGCTCCCTGCCACGTGGCAACAGCCCTGCCCGAGCTACTCAACGTCATCGCCGCGGTGGCGGTTGATACCCCTAAGCTTATGGTTATGGGGGATTTCAACCTGCCGTCCGTGGGTGAGACGTCAGAGATGGCTCGGGAGTTCATGGCTTCCATGACAGCTATGGACCTGACCCAGTTAATTCATGGCCCTACCCACACAGGGGGAAACACGCTGGATCTGGTTTTTGTCTCTGGACAGTGGTTGAGGGATCTTGATATAGGGGATATAGTTACTGAACCCTTGTCATGGTCAGATCACTCTCTCCTTCGTCTCGACTTTCGAACCGCTGCACCCCGCCGCAGGGAGGCGGAGCCGGTCAGATGGTTCCGCCCCAGGCGCCTGATGGAACCTGACAGATTCCAGACGGAGCTTGGGCCATTTCCTGAGGTTCTGGCACACGCCTCGACTGGAGACCTGGTGGCCGCCTGGGATAGGGGGGCTGCTGGTGCTCTGGATCGGGTCGTGCCTTTGCGGCCTCTGACCCGGCGCCGATCTCAATTGGCTCCTTGGTTTACCGAGGAGCTGAG